CACGAAGCCGACGGATATGGGCTTCTGCGTCCGTAGCATCTAAAACTGACCTACTGGCTTGTGGGCGTAGCAAAAATCCATGACTGGTATCCTCCTCACGAGACGTACGATCCATATGGTCTGGCGATCCCAAAGCAAGCGGGTCACCTCTGGGAGATCTGCTACGTGGCGAGCTGGGGCTGTCACGCCGAGTGACAGGCTCCTCGGGGTCAGCTTCATCGCTTGAGTCGTCAGAGTCCTCCTCATAATTGGAGCAACTGTTTGTGCTGTGCTGCTGCTCCTGGTTGCTATAGTCACTGTCTGGGACAGCTCTGAAAGCAACAACCTCACCGGTTGAGACCTCAATGTAGTATCCTTGAGATTCTTTGCCGACTACCTCAATTTCTATGCCCGGAGGCAGCTCTGTGTCGTGTGCGCGCAGCACAGTAGGGAGGTGCAAGCTGTGGCCTGATTGGCACCAACCATACGGCCTGACACCAAGGGGGCGGAAGTCTAGGAAAACAAAGACCTCACTGGAAGCTGGAGTGCCTCTGTCTTGAATGGCACACGCAGGTTTGTCAACAAGGAGGGCTATACCTTGGCACTTCTGCCCATGAAGGCAAAGGTCGGAAATATGCGGGCCTCCGGAGAAGGCAAAGTTGGTGTCCTGCAAACTACACCCCACTATTGTGGCAGCAGCTGCATGGAGGTGGTTCTTCTCGAGAGTATGCGAAGGGAGGAACCACCTTTTATCACGGTAAAGCAGGCAGACTCCCTCCACGGCATTGGTGTCAGGCGTCTGGAAAGATCCCCACGGGGCATCTCCAGCAAGGAGTGCATCTTGGAAAGGCCCTGGCTGATACGGGCGCCTAGCATCGCACACAGTGAGGACAGCTCCGTGGTCAAGCCTTAGGTCCTCATCAACTGGATGTGGGACTCTAGAAGGCCCAACATACAGATTAACATTAAAACTGCCCACAGGCAGCATAGGCATTGCAAACGAAACCCATTCCGTAAACCTCAGTGATGCGGGGAGAACAGTCGCAAAAACGGGTCCTCCTGCGGGCTGAAGATTGATGACGACTGTGGCATGATCATGCCCGTCAAGAGCACTGGTATACGCAACATACGTCAACTTGCCTGGGTACGGTGATGGGTCTACTGGCGATATGCAATCAAGCAGCTCAAAGGGAAGCTTGGCGGCTGTCTGTCGGATGCATCCGAGCAGCTCAGAGACACCAACCCCTTGTGGGACCTCAAGGTTGACAAAACTAGTCTGGTAATGCGGCGCCATAATGGCAGCTCCAATGGTCGGCCCCCTTGGACAGTGGGAGCTGGAACTGCATACCTCAAGAGGCCGCAAATCATCAGACGCACCTGCTACAGCAGCATCTGCCTCGGCTAGGGCTTCCCTCTGGACCTCAGCAACATGCCGACGTGCTTGCTCAAGCGAACTTTCTGAAAGCACAGTGCCATCCCAACCTCCAGTAGTCCCACTGGCAGACTGGGTCTCCGCATCACCAGCTGGTAACTGCGAAGGTAGGAGGTCAGAAAATCTTTCGATCTGATATACTGCAGACGTAAAACCTTCAGGCACTGCCCAGACTTGCCACGGCAGGACGTGGAGGCCAAGTAGCAAGCGCAGGGCAGTAGGAAAACTGGATCGTCGTCTATAGTCCCCGGTTTGCCTGAAAGCCTTGCGCCTAGTCCGTATGGACCCGAAACCGATAGCTGAGCCTGTTTGCGAGGGTATTCCAATTTGCCCAAGAGGCAAAATAATACCCGGGACAACAAATGCAGAAGGGAGAGCAAGGAGCCAAATCAGGGGTGAGCGTCCCGGAACAACGGTGAGTGCCAAACGCCATAATGCAAGCATGACAACGGCGCCGAAAGCTATGGAAAGGCCTTGGGCAAATTGGACGATTCCCCAAAGATAGTTGTTGCACTCGGCAAAAGTAGTGGCTGCTTCGGCGGAGGACCCTGAGCCACCGATTCCTCTCTTAGGCCCGATTTAAAAAAGCCTGTATCAACCCAGGCAGGACCACTTACAGGGTCGCAACTTGTGCTCCCTGAAAAGGGAGGAGGCCCAATGACAAGTGGGAAAGACGAACTGCAAGAGGCAGAGTACGAGGCGACCGACCCTGAGCGACCGATTCGGTTCTTTCGCGCCCTCGTGAACTGCTGCCTAAGCAGAGAAAGAAAACAGTCAGTGACAAAACTGGCTGGCAGTCCCTTACCAGCACACTTATAAAATACAAGGCCGCCACTAACCTCGCAACAACGGCCAGCTTTGGAAGTGCAACGGATTGCAGGCGGGGGAGGACTTGGCATATCAATAGCCCAATGATTGCCAGTACCTCGCGAGGAAGGAAACAGTAAAGAAGCAAGCCCCTCATGCCAAACCAAAGCATGGGAACCTGCCCCCTCACTGAGGAGACACAGCAGTGCACCAGTAAGTAGTGCGCGCAAAGAATAGCACGGCCACCTGCAAGCTGTACATGATGGACAGACCTGCAGAAGCAGGCTCAGACGTTCTCCGGAACTGAAAAGGTCCCTAGTCAAGGTATTGTGAGACCAAAAGGACCCCGAGTTTTCCAGCGCTAGCTCACCGATTTCAAGAAGCACGCCGCTCGGGAACACAGACTTGGGAGAATCAACCCCAGGATCCTCCACAAGTCCTCGCCCAACCAGCACTTGATGAAATTGGGTAGCAAGCACTGGAGCCTCGGGCCCTTTTCTAAGCTGGTTCAGGTAGGTTCTGCTCCATCGTTGCGTGTCTGATGATCTGGTGCAGCCGCCGTCTTTCGCTCTGCTTCGGGATCCCCAGTATTGCCCTCGTCGATGAGGACTTGGACTGGGGGCTTGTTCGGATCTATCTGCTTGAGCTGGGAAGTTGCAGCACCACCAAAGGGTGTCAACGCCCTTCGGTTGGCCAAGCGCCCCGCCAGATTTTCTCCAGATGGTTCCGCTTCCGCTTCTTCGTCGACATAGGGACACACCCTCGCCGTAGGCGAAGTTGTCTTGACCTTGGAGTAAGAGCTCCCTGGGGACGTGAGATACGGCCCCACTGTCTCTGGTCCTGCATATCCCAACTGGGACGCCATGTTGGTGGGGATTATCTCCCAAGCCGGTGGTGCCGCTTTGGTCGTAGCGTGCTGTCCGGTTAAATCCACATCCATTGCTCGCTCGAAGCCAGGCGGCGGGCCATGGTAGATCTGCCCCGTTGTGGGGATGCCCCCCGCTGGACCTCCCATGGGGGGTCCATGGGTGCTGGCAGCAATGGCCCTTTGGAGGACTCCGCTCATGTCCTGTGTCTCCTGTTGGCGCCAGCCAGCAAACAATTGGTCCACTCTGGCCTCCTCCGCAGAGATCTCCTTCGGGGCACCTTGTGCATGTACCTGTAGTAGGGCATGACGTGTGGCATCCTGCTCTTGTAGCGCCTTGGTGAGCTCTGTGTCCAACCTGTCCAGGTCTTTCTTGTACTTCGCATATTCTTTGGCGTAAGAGATCTTCATGTCCGCCTCGTACTTGGTCCACATTGCTTCTCTCTCCGCCCTCTTCTTCTCGGTAGTTAGGACTTTCTGTTCCGCTCGCCTGGTCTGATTGACAGCCGTCTGTATCAGATTGACCAGTGATGCATCTCCAGTGGTCCCACTGTGCTCCTGGGTCTTTTCCCAGTCTGCCGTAACCCTGCGACTGTCGTAAGTGGGGAAGTTGTACTGAGCCTCTTGTTGCCGTGGCCAAGCACCACGCCAGTAGCGCTGCTGCGACTGGCCTCCACCACTTGTGTATCCTCCTCTTGGGTTCCATGCCTGTTTCCCCATGGACAAATGTCCTAGTATCTGCTTCCTGCCAGCACCGTGGTGCAGGAAGAGGAGTCGTTGCTGCCCCAAAGACAGTGGTATGCCCAGACGATGGGCCCTCCTTGCTTTGGAACGCCTGGCTCGCACTCGGCGATGCCAGTTCGGTGAGCGGGGATGAACGCCTATGGCGAAAAACCGCTATTCCGACGGCTGGTTTTTCCAGCCTGGGGCAAAGTGTTCCGCGCTATTGCGGCGATCTGAGCCCTCATACATACATACATACATACATACATACATACATAATTACATACATATATATATATATATGCATATATATATATATGCACATATAATGTATATATATATACACATACATATACATACATATACATACATATACAGACATATACATACATATACATACATATACATACATATGCGTACATACATATGCGTACATACATACATACACACATACATACATACATACATACATACATAGGTACATACATAGGTCTTCTGGCAGTGTAGCCTTCCAATATATGGATGGTAAGAGCCTGCGAACATACAAATGGCTACTGCTACTTGCGGCTGCGGCATACCGTGTTACGGACTCCTACCACTTTCATGAACCTACCAACAAAAGTACTCTGCATTCCTGTAGTATGCAAACGCCGTAAAGAACTTTTGGCCAAGACGGGTTCCACAAGTCGTCTGCGTGGTAACATGGACTATGAGGACGAAACGACAACAGTATGCAATATCTTTCGATGCGGTACCGCCGTGCCAAACACTGCAGCAAAGAACAAGCCAGAATTATGCGGATTACTGCGTGGCAACTTGATAAGCCAAGCCAAACGGACATTGTGACGAAAGGTGCGTGGCCTGCCCATGGTACAGAACAACCATGCGGACAGTTCTACCTGTCTGCCCATCTGCCTTTCTAGCTACCTTTAAAAGCAGATTCCTCGAAGCTGTGGGGTTCGTGTATGATTAATGAGGCTTCGTGCTCTTTTGTTCGATTGACTTACACAAGTACTTGCTGCCTTCAGACAAACAGTCACACGTAAATGACAGCACCACACACGATGTGTGCGTATGCCAAGCTGCAGCCAAATCATGAACACAAGAACTCGGCTAAAAGCAACGGGATGAAAATCTGTTTTGTGTTTTGATGTGACTTCTACATCCAAACCTCGGACTCTCTCTTCTCTCTGCCTTGCAGAGGTGGTAGTGCAACCGCGCAAAAGTGAGCAGCTGCCAGTGCTTCATCAGCCCCGCGCGGAGCTGCGACATGAGGACGCTGGCTTAGAGGGGCACGCACTACCCACAACAGCAGAACGAAGAAGCCTGGCCCTTTCCAGAAGCTTTTCATAATTCGCTCTTTATCGCCACTTCTATGCCCTTTAAGATTCTGGGAGAAGCTTAAGAATTCGAACAGCTCGGCACTCGTCGGCCAAGAGTTCTGGCTCTCGAGGCGACTCAGGGAGGGGCACCTCAGCCTCGACATTGCGACGAGACTTACGAGTTTCCGCGTTCGCGGCTGGGCTTGGGCTTGCCCTCGCGCCTGCCAGCAGCAGCAAAGAAGCAGCGCAGAGACGAAGACCCAGGCCCAATAGCCTAGGTTGATTCTTGGACGGCTGTTGTGGGCCTCAGATCCAGTCCTGCCCTTAATTAGGGCGTGTTGCTGGAGCATATAGTGTCCCGAAGTGTTTGTTCAAGATGCTCCGGCTATTGATATCATCAAAGTTTGTTGGCCCCTGGCCTCTTGCTCCGCCGCTGCTCCGCAAAAATACACGAAGTCGAACAGGCACTTAGACTGTATCTTCCACGCATTTGCTCGTATGTTGGATTCTTCGTTCAAGGGCTCGACACACCCGGAAGGTAGGTACGAGCTTACCACCGCGACTGAGTGCCAAACTGTGAACAAAAGGTGGTGCATCTTCGGCAGGCTGCTGTCAAGCTGGGATTCAGACCGTATGTGAAACGAGCCCATGAGATCAGGCAATCCCAAGATGCTCAAGACTTGGCCCCTCAACCCTTGAAGGTTTCCTTCCTCCTTCAAACCTTCTCCAGTCTGGGCGGCCCATGGCATGGATGTGATCCACCAACCAGATGATCGAACCCTGACAAGTTCTGCGAAAGGGGTCCTGCTATGCTAGTTGGGGTCTACAACAAACTTCCCGATGTTGAGAAACCCCATCTGAAGTTGGAGCCCCGGACACGAGTTGTGTGAACATGACGGAATCGTGAGGTCTGCAAACAGGATCGTCTTCGAGCTGGCATCATCACAAGCATTACAGAAGCCTTACTGGATTCTGGATACACCGATGTTGCATATTGGAAAGTACACTCGCGCATACTCGCAATCTCGCTATCTCTATCTACAAGCATACATGTAAATAGCCATATACATATACATGCACATATATACACACATACACATACAAACATACATACATACATACATACATACAAACATACATGCACATACAGATACACATACCCATACCCATACCCATACACATACCCATACCCATACCCATACGCATACGCATACACATACACATACACATACCCATACCCATACACATACACATACACTCTCTCACGGCCATCGGACGAGTTCGCGACCAAGCCGAGCAAGCAGCACAAAGGTTGCGCCGCATCTGTCTCTAGGACTAACCCGCGGCCCCACCGCAGGATACGACATGGGAACGGTTGAACGCGACAGCTCACCAGACCAGCAAAGCTACAGTCCAGCGAGCCATCACTCAAACTTGCCGTTAGTGGCACGAAAAGGGAGCAAAATCTACGGACTGACGTCAGCTCGGCGGCTCATTTCCCTCCCAAGATCTCGGTCAAGTGATCTACCACTTCTTGAACTTCTCTCTCCAGCCCGCTTCTTGGGGCCTGTCCACGCTTGAGCCTGCCGCCGGCATGGATCAGCCCCTTCGTCAAAGCCGCCAAGGACGGCTC